AAGTTATTTACAACACTCGCGGCCGTGTTGTATTGAATATTATACAATCAATACAACACGTCCGCTTTTGTTTCACTGTCTATACTTCTGTGGTATACCTATATCAATATAATTATTATCGATAACCACCCCACTGAAAAAGTTATTTTACCAGAATAATTTCAAACTTTTCATGCTATCTTCGCCTGACATCATCAATTAATGCCTGATCCAGTCAGAAAACAAAATAAAATTCCCGCTACGAGTACTTACCCTAACAACCTGAGGGTCTGTAGGATCCAAACAACAGGTGCATACGGTACCAATTTGACTTAGACGAAACTCCACCAATTTAATGGACATCTTTTGGGCATAAAGACTATATTCGTTGATAAGACAACTTAAATTTTGTTTGTGTTTTTCATCGAGAGCTACATAGCCAGATGTGAACAATATCACAATATCCACATTTACTGCAATATGAAGAACAGCGAATTGGACGAAATAGACAACGCTCTCATAAGACATATCCATAAAATCTGGTTTTAAAGCTTCCAATATTTCATGTAGGGATAAACAACGTTCATTGTGCTCACTTTCCTCCTGCGTGACATTGATGTATTCATGACAAATATCCCTTGCTTCTTCCAGAGAACATCTTAGTTTTACAACTTTCTCATGATCAAGGCATTCCTGGATCGCTTGATTAACCCTTTTCGTTACAGTTTCAATGTAGTCATTATCTTTAGGCCACAATAAGTCATAAACCGCAGAAAAAAATGAACCAGCCTGAGGGATATCCGACACTAAGCTGGCCCCAAGAGCCTCCAGCTTGCCATCTATATCAACCATAATTCGTTTTCAAAAGACACTGGGTAGGTTATCGGTACGACGACAACGCAATGTGTGAAAGATCAGTGAAAGATTAATATCATGTTGTGTGTCTTGAGCTTCATAATTTCAGAATTAGGCGGAAATAGAATTATTCCATTTTTAGTAATGTTGTTCAACAAATGTTCAAGCCACTTTTCATGTCCACAAAATTAACAAGCCTTTACAGGTTTCATTAAAGTCTTATATATTAGGAAATAAGGTATCTTTTAATTAAAGCAACTGGTATTGTAAAATTAGCCGCTGCATGCAGGTATTACAGTTTTAAGAGGCGTCATATACATTCCTTTTATAATTTATATTCAGAAATTGTAGTCCTAGCTGACAATATTTTTCGAAAGAAATGGCAGATTAATTTTTCTGAAGATTGAGGTCCTATTTAGCTACCAGCGTGAGTCGTTTATTCATTATTCGTCGGGAGCTAAGTTAGTACGTACGACATGCTCATTATGACATAAGCCCCGTTTACATTACACTCGATTTATTGGCACGGCACGGCTAAAATGGGTACCCGTGCCCATTTCATCCGTGCCCGGCCTTTGTCTGAGCACTAATAAAAGCCCCGTTTACACTACAATGAATTTATCAGCACGGCACGGCTAATATGGGCACCCGTACCCAATTTTATCAGTGTTCAGGCTACCAAAACAAAGGCCGAGTACAGATGAAATGGGTACGGGTACTCATTTTAGCCCTGCCGTGCCAATAAACTGAGTGTAGTGTAAACGGGGCTAAAATTGGGCACGGGTACCCATTTTAGCCGTGCCGTGCCAATAAATCGAGTGTAGTGTAAACAGGGCTATAGACTATAGTAACAGACTTTCCTGAGCAAGACACTTGATGTCTTTCAATTTAGCTTCAAAGATGGAAGCCGTAGCGGCTAGAACAGTACTCCAACATTAGCAGAAACGCAATCTATGCGGTCACGGAGGCAACTATATACTATACATAGTTCAGATGATTTAAGTAATGAGATTGGTGTATCATAATAATTACTTCATGTAGGTGTTAAAGGTAAACAGAGCCTAGTACCATACGCGAAGGGGGAAAGCAGCATACAATGTCAAATATACGGCAGGTGGCAAGTGTGATCAATGGATGACTTGCGCTTTAGACTAATTTCTCACCTCGGCGATAAAAAACACATTTTCTGAAAGAGCTTACTAAAATTAGTAAAACTGCCAAGTTTGGCAGCTAATTGTTGTAAATTATGGAAAACATAGCCATACGAAGTTTACGAATTTTGTATACTTTTGTATTAAGGCCGGAAGTTTGTAACTAATTTAGTTAAACATTTCCGCACGTAATACAAAAGTATACAAAAATTGCCAACTTCGCATCGCTCTATTTTCCATATTTTGAAAAATTTCGCAGCTAAACTTTGCATTTACACCAATTTAAGTATAAGATCTCTGTAGCTGTGATGATTTATTTCTTCTAGTTACTGCACTTCAATCAAAAATTAGTCTAAAGCGCAAGTCGTGCATTCAAATGAATGATAATTATAACACAGAATACTATATCAAGTATTCTGAACGTAACGCCGAACAAGTTACAAATTTGTAGTAAAATAATAATGCTGCATGTATACCGGTTGATCTGTATGGAGAATGTGAAAAAAAAGTTTAGTGGAAAATGACAATAATTTTTAAGGCCTAGCCGAAATTTCTGCATGCCTGTGTTGTCTAATAATTTCCTGTCTGCATTATTATTTGTTCTTAAGAAGAACTTGTAAGAAACCCGAAACAAAGGCTTGCTTATTATTAAACAGACATCCGACAGTTTTCAAAAGAGTCCGCGTTTTTAAACGCAATTAAGCCCCGGTTGACAGAAATTTCTAGCACAAATAGACACGAAAAAATTCTTCTTTGATTCATAATAGCTTCTAAACTAGCTAAGCTATTAAACTGAAATAACTTTCGCTAGATAGAGGGAAAACTAACTTAGATTTTGATATATTACAGCTGTATTTTACTTAAAAATTTACGAAGATATCAATGTTCAAAATTGGTAGCATATTTCTGGATGTGTCTAAATTATGCAAAAAACGCCGTATCAATTATTAATCAAGCTTTTCTCAACTGAAACATGCACTATTAGCAGTAAATAAATGACAATTGACAAATTGTTTATTATGAAACGAAGTATCATTATTTAATGAGGAAAATAATACAGCATTTTTGCAATTGCACATATAACAGTATCAGCGCTATTGTTTTCATTACGTTTTGTTCGAAAAATGTCCCTGGGGAGTTGCATGTTGTGCCTTATGGAATTATGGTTTGAATGTGTTTTATTTTGAGTTTATCCTGAATATGCCAAGATTAAGTAAAGATCAAAGAGTATGGGTGTGTTTACTTACTGCTAATTGTGCATGCATGCATGTTGAGAAAAGCTTGATTAATATTTGATACGGCGTTTTTTGCATAATTTAGATACATCCAGAAATATGCTACCAATTTTGAACATTGATATCTCCGTAAATTTGTAAGTAAAATACAACTGTAATAAATCAAAATCTAAGTTAGTCTTCCCTCTATCTAGCGAAAGCTATTTAAGTTTGATAACTTAGCTAGTTTAGAAGCTATTATGAATCAAACCGGAGTATTTTTTTCTGGGACACCCGGTATATTATAATATAATATATATATATATATATATTATATATATATATATAATATATATATATATATATATATATATATATATATATATTATATATATATATTATAAAAAAAAAATATATATATATATATACACATTTATATATTTGTTTATTTTAATACTGTTCAGACAGCTGCGCTGGTGTCCCGTGTAAATAAAGTAAAATGTTCAATAAAAACGACAGAAAGTTCAGAGGTGGCTGGTGCCTACAAATGTCTCTAAAAAGTCAATTATGATAATTTTGTTGTTAGAAACTGTCACTATGAAGAGAATATCAACGACAGATACAGAAAAAACAAGTCATTCACTCCACACATTTCAGAGGGCACGTTGTATATAAATAGTATAATATATTATATCATTGCATCGTGCAGAGAGCGCAGTGAAGTGGAAAGCCGCAGGAGGGACAGCAGCAGATTATCCATATTATCTAGCCTTCCTCGAAATGCTAACTTTTGTTGCCATTTTATCGATGCCTTTGTCATTACTAAAAGCTCAACCTTGTGCTTTAAGACATTTCAAAAACGTCAGCGTTGGTAAGTCAGTAATTTTACACTTTTGTGATCGTTTGGATCCCTGTTATCGATGGTAACTTTTTCATCGAGTTAACCCCCATGCAACTTCTAAATCTCGTGAGCTGATAGTTGTAAAAATTAAATGAACCCCAACTCAATTGTTTCCCATACTGATAGTTAGATTAAGGTGGCTCGATACAGTTTTCAAAAATTTCACTGTTCATCAGTTTGACACGTTCAAACAATGCATTTTTATAATTTATCCAGAAATATTGGGTTTTTGATATATTTTGATGTTTCCACTTTTGAATCGTATTAGTTTTAGTAACAGATCGTCCGTTGCTATGGCGACATACGTGTAAAAATATCACTCCAAAATGACCAATTGCCTCGGATAGTTGGAAAAAAAGCACGGTGACCCCCAATTTTTTTTCGTGCAGTATTTTACTTGGAAGAAAAACTAACAATTAGCGAAATACAAAAAATCTATAATGCCACATTTTTGAAAACTGCAAAAATGACATTTTTTTCGATAATTTGTTTTTGTTATTATAGAATTTTTTATATTTTGCTAATTGTTAGTTTTTTCCTTCAAGTAAAATAATGTACGAAAAAAAATTGGGGTCACCGTGCTTGTTGTCCAACTATTCGAGGCAATTGGTCATTTTGAAGTGAATTTTGTAAACGTATGTCGCCATAGCAATGTACGATTTGTTACTAAAACTAATACGATTCAAAAGTAGAAACATCTAAATATATAAAAACCCCAATATCTCTAGAGTAACGTGTCAAAATGATGAACGTGTCAACATGATGAGCGATGGAATTTTTGAAAACTGTATCGAGCCACCTTCAAATCACTTTTATTTGGGTTATCACGCAGCCGATATCAGAATGCTTTGCCGGAGTAAAAATTATTGCAATCAAAAATTTAATGTACGTTTAGCTAAAATGCATCATTACTCAGTAAGGAAGCTGGGGAATTAATAGTGACTAAAAAAATTCATATTTGATTTTAAATTATATTTTCGCCTTTTTTGTACACAAGTATATATATATATAGCTTAGAGTTACATAAATCAACTGTAACTTCATTAATTTTGCATTTAGTTGTTAATCTGCGAAAGACATGTTCTTCATGCATGAATTCTTGAACGATGTTGCCTAAATAGCCTAAATTGCTTAATGAATAGGTCACGTTTAGAAATTTCATATAGGCTACACAGTTCCCATGCAGTCAATTTTGACGTGATGAAATTAGCCGTTACAGCGTTGCAATTAGAGTTCTCGTTAATTATAAATCAATGCAGGAAATGAAGCCTTGCGTCGATCTGAGTTGATTTCAAGTCACAATATCCACCGCTTGGGAGAGTGTCATTTACTGTGCATTGCGAAAGAAAATTGTTATGGTTACAACTACAGAGTGAGACGAAGCAGTGTTTATTCTGTAAACTGTCAACTTAGCAAAAGCACTAAGAAGTGGAATAAAACAACGACTAAATATGGACCATGGGTTTACTAACAGGATGTTAAGGTGAAGTATGCGAACTGCGAAGTAACCAATAATTATTGAAATAAAACATCGAGTAAATATTCGAAAACGTTGTTTTCATATAAAATGTGAATGCATTGATAGGCGATTTCTCGTCAGGGACATATTCGGATATTTTATGCCTATTTGCTTTTAAGAATTTTTTTCTTCACGGATCTCCCCCCCCCCCAATGCCTTTGAAGCCGACATAGCTAAGGCCCAAAAAATTTTGCTTGGTCTTATGCGATTAAATATTGCTACTAAAAATAATATTTAGTGAGCAAATATTTACTTTCCCGTAATGGACCGGCATTTTCCCGTAATGGACCGACGTTACCGGCGATCCATTACGAGATGAAAAACAGAGAAATTCTGAATGAAAAAGGCACAAATAAATGCTAAAGGGAAAATTTAATTGATTTTGAATTAATAAGACGTCTCCAGACAGTTTAGGTAAACTAGATGATTCAATATTTTGTTTTTGTTTTTATCAAATGCGTACCACGCTATTAATACGAATTCATGCATTTCTTGTTTGTTTCAAGTGCAAATACATGCCTTAGGCCATATAATAAACTTCTTATTAACCTCGCTTGCTCGGTCTTAACCAAGAAATATCGGATTATTCGGTTATTACTTTGCCATAAATTATAATGTCGTAAATTTACAACTTACCATTTTTTCAACCCGTCCTCAATTTTAATTTTATACGTCTCTATTCTTTTACTTTAGGTGACAGAAGGTAAGAATTGCAGGAATTTTATTACAAATGATTTGCCAATTGTAGTAAATAAAGTCCCTGATACTGAAAATAACGTAACCCCCCCCCCCCTCTCCCAAATTTTTAACGCTGTATCCTACGACCTTAACATTTCAATCAATATGGTTAAAATTACCGCAAAAACAGAAACCAATCTCAAAGCGACAACAACGCTTGCTTCATCACTAATAGGCTTAGAGGATACCTAGCTTCACTCGTCTAATCAGCTTTTAGTATTTCTATGCAATATACCTCATATGATCACTGGACATCACCCTAAAAAAATTTGCCTTGAAATACGCCGACGAGAACAAGATCTTAATAAGGCTTCCAAAGCACTGATCATATTTCTTTTCTGACCTTACCCATCATGTTATCACGCCTCTAAATATCGTGAAATTTTGATATATATATAACTGCAATGAAACACGCAATTTGATTGGTTAGTGGGCGTGCAGGATGAGACAATCCCGCGCGGAAAAGTTTACAATGACGTTTCACGCGGAATTTTTAAAATGTCGAACTATTTTACGCGTGAAGTTTTAAGCGATAGACAAGTTAAAAAAAACATGGAACAACAGTTCGCCCTAACTACAGAAACTCTGTCTAGCTTGTTTAGAATTCCAAACTTCCGCTAACTAATTAAAAAAAATGACTATTGTTTCGTTATAGTTATTTTAAAAAGTAGAAAATTAAAACGGAGTAATCATGAATGAATTCTTGATTAGGTGTTTTAGTCTGAAGTTAATCTGTATAAAAACGGTCAACTCGGGAAAATGTACTGAGATACAAAAAATCGGAGTTTTTTGATCATCTAAACGTGAATGATCTTTGACGTTTCATCATTTGTGAGAAAAGTGGCAACATTATCGCCCTTTTCATGAGAAAGACTTACTACCTTACAAGCTGCGAGCGTTTACCCTACAGTCAAAGAGCAATACGCGTAAAATATTTTCGCCAATATCTAATTTGATAAATTGTGCAAATATTGTGTATTTTTTGAAAAACGGTTACACGCATTCCACTCTGGTTATATTAAGTGATCCAAGCTAATAGGATAAAAAAGATATGTGCATGGACGTAAAAAAGTAATATTTTTGTTCAAATAACTAAGAGTCAAGCAACAAGAGCTACTACTGACCGAATAAAACAAGACGTTTTTGCAATCAAAAGATTTCTAAAAATCCTAGATTGTTAAATCAGCAACAGGGCTAGAAACAAGGGAAGAACCCTTCGAAAAATACCAGAAAGGTTCAAGAATTTTTGAAGATTTTGGTCAATGACAAGCACCGATATTTCGGATTTTTTGTACACAGTTGTAAAACAAAAGTTGTGATTGATATATTTTCCCCATCAATTATGGTGCATATTTTATACATTATGTGCATTGTTAGAATTATGCGAGTTCGATTGCAAATGTAAAGTACATCAATATACATTAATTATCTATTAATTTCCAGCAATAAAAATGTTCCACGCCAACTTTACAAGTCTTGGAGCAACTGGTCGTCTTGGTCCTTCTTCCCTGGGCTCCTACTATGTGGGGAAAGATAATGACAACATGGTGACTCTCAAGAATGGGATACAGTTCTGGACAGTTTCCTACACTGGAACATACGAGATCACCGCAGTTGGTGCAGCCGGAGGATATGATAAATACGGCTCAACTGCTCGAGGTCGTGGCGCTTATATGAGGGGTGAATTTACCTTTCAGAAAGGAGATGTAATTAAAATATTGGTTGGACAGACAGCTCCAGTAAATTCTGCAAGTCAGTCGTCAGGGGGAGGTGGCGGATCATTTGTTGCGACATCGTCTAACACACCGCTTATTGTTGCTGGGGGTGGGGGTGGCGTTGAAAGGCTGAGTAATAGACTGGCAAACTGCGATGCAAATACCAGAACATCTGGAAGAAGAAATCAATGTAAATTCTCGTGTGCCATTTGGCCTGGGGGGAAGAATGGGAGTGGCGCCTCACAAGCAGACAGCAGTAACTCAGGTAATTCGAAGAAGTTTTTGATATTTGCGCAATTGCTTAACCATGCAGGTTAATTCTAGTGACAGATCATTACTATCACCATTGGCAGAAAGAACAGTATTTGACGCGATCACCAAAAAAAGTTGTATATTAAGCGCAAGCTGTTGAAAACGACGCATACCCTCTGCAGGCATGATTAATTCATGATTCTGACAGCTTCTTTGGAGAGGGCCCTATCGCGATACGGATATTCTATCAGCATCATAACTTATTTGACCAAATGATGATTGACTGAATACTTTTACGTTTACTTCCTATACAGACACCAATTTTTTCACTAACGATGAGTGCGTGCGTTCGACTAGAAGACGTCTGTCGAGTTTTGATTCATCTTGTGCAGGTTTAGACAAAACGAGAATAATTTCGAATAGCAAATTTCATTTTTTAATTGAATTTTCGCACATCTGTACCCATGGCTACCACATAGGAATTTCTTGATTTTTGTAACTTGAAAGATTTAAAAACATAATGTTTGTTTTTAAAGGTGGTGGTGGTGGTGGATTCTATAGCAATGGACGGAGCAGTTCTCAGCTTCGCGGTTCCTATGGTCACGGTGGGGAAGGAGGGAGAGGTTTTATTCAGGGGGGAGCAGGAGGACGTGCTCGCACTAATATTGCTGTCGGTGGATTTGGAGGAGGTGGAGGGGCGTATGGAGCCGGAGGAGGCGCAGGAGGTGGCGGGGGATATTCTGGTGGAGCATCTGGAAATAATTTTTATTACTCGTGTGGTGGAGGTGGAGGTTCCTACAACGCTGGGAGAAAACAAAGAAACGTGGAGGCCATGAATGAGAAGGGAAATGGTTATGTCGAAATAAAACGTGTCGTCTAAAACAGTATCGTTTTGTAACTTGCTATATTTAGTGATCTTTGTTGTGGTTTGGTTGTTGGGAAACAAGACTTATATGGATATAAGCAACGTTTGTGGGAATAATAAATTAGCCTAAGAAATTAGGTACATACATGTGTAACTTTACTTTGTTTTATAAATAAAAATGATTTTCTTTCCTTTTCTTTCACCATAAATTGAATGCAATCATTTTCAAGCCGAAGAACAATTCTGAGTGACTGTATTTTGGGGATTTTATCTACTCGGAAAGTTGACATTCAGCATTTTGTTGTTTCTATTATGCACGAGCTGTTCTTCACTACTCTGACTGGTCGGTTGTCTAAAATGCTATACTGAGAGCCACGCACAAGGCAGTCGACAGGACTGACTCATAAATGAGATGGCATTGCAATAAACTGTTTAGTGGTATTTTTTTACCTAATATAAAGAATTTATAGAATTGCAAAAACATACAAGGGGAATTCTTGTTCAAAAACAAAATTGAAAAATGTATACAGGAAATTGAAAATTTTAGTGAGAAGCAAAGTCCGGAAATTTCAAAGGAAAACGACGATTAGGTTGTGTGGAACTCACTGATTGCTAATCAGGGCAAACAGGACATATATACCTTTTAAGGATTGCGGCCGTGAAATTAAAAGATTTAGTCTTCATAGCCTGTTCAATGACAATGGCTTGACTAGATAAAATTTTTTACTTTTAATTTTTTGTGTGTGGTTGTGTTTGATTACAGCTCATGAAACTCTGAGTCATTATGTGGAATGAAATGTCGCTAATTATTGGTAATGAAATAAATCTCTGCCACCCGGACGCTTCCTTTCGCTGTGACTAACAAATCGATGTACATATGATCAATATTTGCTTTTGCAATTTATGTTTTGATTCTTTTTTGTTGATCGCGTCCCGTAGCGACAGCGATCTATAGTTTCGGCTTGGTTTTTTTTTATTTTCCTCTCGGGTCGACCCCCAGCGTCGTTAGCTGCAGGCCATATCACCCAGGCGCACAGGTAAGTTGCTAGTTATATCACGTGTTGTATTCACTTTGGGCATATTTCGTTTCACCTTCAAAGCAGTAAAGTAGAATCAACAAAGCGATAAGAATGCTAGCAAGTGCTATCTTTATCTTTACGCTCATTACACATACAACTGCACACGCCGAGCAGAGTAAGCCTGCACTAAAGGATTTCAAGCAGTTTCGAAATGAGCTGTTGTGTGTTTCTCCTGCTTTCAACGTGCGACTATAGTTCGGTATATTGTTCATTTTTATCATTAAGAACATTTACGACAAAAAATTTGCATAGCTGGGCTGGCTACGCCGCTGTGAACGACGCGATCATAACGCCCAGTAGGCGTCTTGTTCACAATAAAATCGACTTCGAGAGTGAACTCAATCCCGTGACCCAGACTTGTTTATATCATTGTGAAAACATGAATAATTAATGCCCAACAAAAGTTCGTAAATTAGGTCCCCATAAAAATAGGATTGATGAATATGCAGATCAGTTGCAAACACTGACACTCGCGGCCGTGTTGTATTGAATATTATACAATCAATAATACAACACGGCCGCTCGTGTTGCAAACATTACTTATATAATACTGAATAAATCGCCGTATTTAGAACATGTTTTCTGAATTTAAATAGGGTTTCTTTAATGTTCAAATCACATCTAATGCAATTCCACCGCGAAATATTTCACTGTCTATACTTCTGGTATACCTATATCAATATATTATCGATCACTACCCCAAAACGTTTCATTATTTTTACCAGAGAATAATTTTAGATTTTGCATGCTATCTTCGCCTGACCTCATTCATCAATGCTTTTTTGAAATTATTATATTGCCGCCTAATCCAGTCAGAAAACTAATATAAAATTCCCGCTACGACTACTTACCCTAACAACCTGAGGGTCTGTAGGATCCAAACAACAGGTGCATACGGTACCAATTTGACTTAGACGAAACTCCACCAATTTAATGGACATATTTTCGGCATAAAGACTATATTCGTTGATAAGACAACTTAAATTTTGTTTGTGTTTTTCATCGAGAGCTACATGGCCAGATGTGAACAATATTACCATATCCACATTTACTGCAATATAAAGAACAGCGAATTGGACAAAATAGACAACGCTTTCATAAGACATATCCATAAAATCTGGTTTTAAAGTTTCCAATATTTCATGTAGGGATAAACAGCGCTCATTGCGCTCACTTTCCTCCTGCGTGACATTGATGTATTCGTGACAAATATCCCTTGCTTCTTCCAGAGAACATCTTAGTTTTACGACTTTCTCGTGATCAAGGCATTCCTGGATCGCTTGATTAACCCTTTTCGTTACAGTTTCAATGTAGTCATTATCTTTAGGCCACAATAAGCCATAAACGGCAGAAAAAAATGAACCAGCCTGAGGGATACCTGACACTAAGCTAGCCCCAAGAGCCTCCAGCTTGCCATCTATATCGACCATAATTCGTTTTCAAAAGACACTGGGTGGGTTATCAGTACCACGACAACGCAATGTCATGAAAGATCAGTGAAAGATCAATATCATGTTGTGTGTCTTGAGCTTCATAATTTTAGAATTAGGCGGAAATAGAATTATTCCATTTTTAGTAATGTTGTTCAACAAATGTTCAAGCCAATTTTCATGTCCGCAAGTAAGCCTTTACCGGTTTAATTAAAGTCTTATATTAGGAAATAAGGTATTTAGATAAAGCGACGGGTATTGTAAAATTAGCCGCTGCATGCAGTATTACCGCTGCATGCAGTATTACAGTTTTAAGAGGCGCCATTCGTTTTATAATTTTATATTCAGAAATTATAGTCCTGGCAATATTTTTCGAAAGAAATGGCAGATAAAATTTTCGGAAGATTTCGGTTCTATTTATAGCTACCAGCGTGAGTCGTTTATTCATTATTCGTCGGGAGCTAAGTTAGTACGACATGCTCATTATGACATAGTAACAGACTTTCCTGACGAAGACTCTTATAGTTCCAGTTAGAAAAAGCACGCCTTTTTAGCCGTTCATTTTCGGCTTTGGACATTCGATGGATGGCTTTCAATTTAGCTTCGATGATGGAAGCCGTTGCGGCTAGAACAGCACGCCAACATTAGCAGAAACGCAATCTATGCGGCAAGGAGGCAACTATATACTATATATAGTTCAGATGATTTAAGTATTGAGATTGGTGTATCATATTTCAAGTAGGTGTTCAACGTGAACAGAGCCTAGTACCATACGCGAAGGGGGAAAGCAGTATACAATGTAAAATATACAGCAGGTGGCAAGTGTGATCAATGGGTGACTTGCGCATTAAGCCTGTTTTCCACTAGGATGAATTTTGCGCGCGGAGCGGAATTTTTCTTTGTTTTTCTCACATTAGCTCTACATGAAGGCGCACATATAATAGAAAATTCCGCTCCGGTGGAAAACAGGCCTTAGACTAATTTCTTACCTAGGCGATAAAAAGGACATTTTCTGAAAGAGCTTACTAAAATTAGTAAAACTGCCAAGTTTGGCTGCAAATTGTTGTAAATTATGGAAAATATAGCCATGCGAAGTTCACGAATTTTGTATACTTTTGTATTAAGGCCGGAAGTTTTTAGCTAATTTAGTTACACATTTCCGCACGTAATACAAAAGTATACAAAATTTGCCAGCTTCGCATGGCTATATTTTCCCTATTTTGAAAAATTTCGCAGCCGAACTTTGCATTTACACTAATTTAAGTATAAGATCTCTTCTTCATCTTTGGCGAGCGGACGTGTCTTCGTTAGCTCTTGAAACTATGCCTCCAAAACTACGAAATCAGGATTCCGAAAGCCTAACGATCGCTTCCATAAGAACATTATGGGAAAAGGAATTCCTGCCCAGCATTAGAGAAGAAATAAAAGCAGAGATTGACGGTATGAAGCGTGAAATAAAATCGCTTACCGCGAAATGCAACGATATTGAAAATTCACAGAAGTTCCTCTCCAGTGAATACGATAGCCTTAAAGGCTCACTACAAGAGACGAAGAAAGACATATCTGAAGTTTCAAAAACCTTAAAGTCATTAAATGACAGAGTTGGGATCAGTGATCGAGATCTACAAGAAACGAGAGAAACGCTGGACAATCTTCAGCAGTACTTGCGCCGTGACTGTATCGAGATTACGGGAATACCAACAACTCCAAAGGATGACCCGAAGGAAATCGCATTGCAAGTTGGTCAAATGCTCGGAATCCCAGTATCTGAAAACCACATATCAACTGCTCACCGCCTCCCATCAACTCGAAAAATAAAGGACCGCATTATTGTAAAGTTTGTACACCGAGACATGAGGGAAGCCTATTATAAAAATCGCAGTAAGTTAATCGGAAAAAAGTCAAAAGATGTGCCTATAATTGCAAGTGAGTATGGCAAATCTGTTCATGAAGTCAATAATATATATATCAACGAGTCCCTGACTTTCAATAGAAAAAGACTTCTTGGTAAAGTAAACGATTTTAAGCGCAGGAATAAATGGAAATACGTTTGGACGATGACCGGAAAGATTTATTTAAGGGAATCTGAAAACACTAAGGCCTATGAGTTTAATAGCATAGATCAGTTTGAAAATTTCTTGGGACAGTTCGAATAGTGCATAATAACATATCTTGTGACTGCACGCGTGAATGCGCGCATATCGTAATATGATCAAATGTCCTCCATGAATGAACTCGATTGTAATTACCTACAACAACAACTACCCTTTGTTAATCTGAGTGACAGGGAATTTAACTCTTTGTTTAATTGTTCAACTAGAGAATTGGACGCAGATATGGATTTGTTTAATATACTTCCAAATCCAGATAAATTGGATGAAAATGACCCCGATAACATGTTGACAAATCTAGTTTCAGATTATTACTCGCTTGATAAAATCAATGATATACTGAATACAGTAGGTCCTAAGGCAGTTTCAGTTTTCCACTGCAATATAAGAAGTCT